TAGTTATCGGGATCTAATTATCAGTGTTCTTTCACCTGACACATCCTGTTTTAAACTATGCACTATCCTGTAATATCTTTTCTTCTGACCACTGCCTGCCTAATTTCATATTTTCGAGTTCCATTACCAAACAACAAGGATGACACTTCTCCAAAAACACGGTGAGTTCCAGCTATATGTTTTCTGCAATCATAAGGTCATTTTAGATGGCTCGTTCAATAACAACCACACAATTAACTGAATTCATTCGATTGTTCTAATCCGAGCGAGTGGCAGAAACGTCAACACCATCAAGCACCCTGGAATTAATTGTCATACTGCATGTTTTATTCTGGATACTTTTGGATCATTACTACTCCTTACGAATGGCGTTATATATGTCGTCCACTGAATAATCTAATTTTTAGAAATAATCCAGGCGAGTTCAACTATCTTACTTAATGATTTTTTGTACTGAACATATATATGTTTTCCAGTTGCTTTTGCCATATATTTGTAAGTGTCCCTAGGCTGAATGCAGTAACTTCTTATGGAATGTTTATAACGCGTCATATTCCTGCCTGAAGTTTCATAAGCAGCCTGGTCGTGTTCATTATTTTTTAATTGTCATATACGTCAACAACCTGCTTGTTAACCTGGCCCGTACATACGTTACGGTATATCTTCATGTCTTCTAAATTTAGAAATCATCTGAATCGCCTTTAACGTGTATAAATAAACCCATCATAGTCGTTGTTGCTAATCGTATTTGGGTTTATGGATTGGTTTATCATAGTAGCAGCCTAAAATGCAGACATAGTTTAGATAATTAGGTACTATCAACGGCACTAGTCAAATAACTAAATCCCCAGGTAGCTGTTGACTAAACAAACGTTTAAAATCAAAACTCCGTAGCCTAATAAAATTACCACTAAACGAATATTTCTGAATTGAAAATTATAATATAATTAGGCGTCTCGGATTCTGTAACACTACAAATTTCTGATAATTTTGAATCACCTAAAGCAAAAATACCTATTTTTCCACTGGCTAATCTTCAATCAACACTATAACTAGTTTAACATAATAGTTTCAGGATATCGTCATAAAGCATTGTCATGACTTGACAATCACGTAATATGATTGATGAAATTAATGAAACTATTAACGAAATCGGTCAACAAATTGACTTATAATTACCATTAAATGTTGTTTTCTTGGTATCTTCATCCATCACAGATGATTACAGTATGTTTCTCTCTCAGTTGCTCATTCAGTAAATATCTCAAAACCTTGTCAGTCTAATTGATGGTTTAGCGACACAATCATGCATGCAAATAATCAGTATAAGCAGTCGAGCAAATCTCCTGCAAACTGAAAACATCAATGTCGAATTTACCCCAACACTGACTAAGGTTCAAGCCATTACCCGGGGGATTCTTCCTAGTCTTGGTAACCCTCAACGCACGACGATCCCATCCAATTCGGTATCGAACCAACATCACGTTGATTCTGGTGGGAGAGTAGTGTAGTGGCATTGAACAATAACCGCACAATCCACAAAGCTGAACACGAGACTACTCAGAATATAGATATTCAATATTTAACGCGGATAAATACCTCACGATGGAGAAGGCGCGAACAAAGAATGGAATGGACTGGAGTTGATCGAGTGGCATGGCTCGGCCATGAAGGCGTGGTCTCTGCTGAATGTTACCTTATATCTTCTATTCATATTAAATATATTGTTCTTTCTGCAGCCTAACCTTGTTCTACATCATATATTGGTAATTGATACGGTACAGTGAGTTGGTGTAGTCGATGGTGTGACTTCCACATAAGATCTTATAGATTAGGCAGTTATATCATGACAAATCTACAAATTTAGAATTAGGTCTATTATTAGAGCAGTACTAATATCATAGTAGACCATAATTGTACATATTATCAGACGGTGCTGATATTACGTGTTCCGGTAGAGAATTCCAGTAATTCACTACTCGGTGCGAGAAACGGAACTCCAGACGTAAACGGTTTGACCTCGGTTTTTGAACTTTCTTCGAATGTCCTCTCAAATGATCGGTTCTTAACGGAAGCAAAAGATAAGACATTTTAATACCAAGGTCATCGTTCAGTATACGATAGGCCAATATTAGATCACCCCGTACTCTACGGTAAGATAACGGAAATAAGTTAGGGCGTCTCAGTCTGTCTTCATACGATAGGCCAGATAAACCTTGTGCCATCTTAGTACCTCGTCGTTGGACTCTTTCTAGCATATCTGCTTCATATTTGAAACAAGGTCACGCTGCTTGAATACCGTATTCTAAATGTGGTCGCACATAAATCGGGTATAGAAATCTAAACATTTCATCATCTAAATACTGGAAAGACCTACGAATTGACCATAATACCCTATGGCCTTTTGCAGCAGCAGCCTTACAGTGACTAGTCATTTTGAGATCATTGCTTAATATAACCCTTTGTAGTTTCTTGCTTTGGGTAGCACGAGTCCACGTAGTGTATAGTCATACGATTCATCAGAGTTATTTAACTGCATCACTACACTCTTATTAGGATTTACTTCTAGTGACCACCTGTCTAACCATGCCACCAATGAGCTAAGATCGTCCTGTAATACTATTCTATCCTACATACTATGTATGGGTCTCCAAATCTTTATGTCACCAGCGAAGAGTAGGACGGATGATTTTGCTACAGTTGGCAATTCATTTACATAAAGTAAAAGGAGAAGAGGACCTAGGATTGCGCCTTGGGGAACCCCACTTTTTACAGGTACCCACGAGGAGAGAGCCCCACTAACCCTTACCCTCTGTCTCCTGTCACTGAGAAAGTTACTTATCCAATCGACGACTGTTTAATGGATTCCAAAACGTTTCAGTTTGAATTTAAGACCAGAGTGGGAAACCTTATCAAAGGCTTTACTTAGATCTATGAAAATTACATCCACAGGAGCATTCCGATCCTTTTCCGTAGCCCACTCTTCTCGTGCAATGAGAAGATTTGTCAAGCAAGATAGGCCTTTCCGAAAACCATGTTGTGCCCTGGAGAAAAGATTATGCCCTTCAACATAGTTTATAACAGATATCCGAATGATTTTCTCCATCAGTTTCACAACTGCACTAGTTAAGCTAACGGGTCTATAGTTACTAACTAAATCCCTACTCCCAGCCTTATACACCGGACTTATTATGGCATCTTTCCAGTCTCTGGGAAGTCTGGACTGTCTCAGAGACATGTCGAATAGTATCGCTAATGGTTCAGCAATTTCATCTGATATGGCTCCCATAATCCTAGGATGAATATCATCAGGACCACTGGACTTATCAGGTTTGAGACACTGAAGTATCCTTAAAACAGTACCTTTCTCAATGACTACAGGATCCATTAGCGAGCCGTCACGGTGGCGATGAATCGTTGGTCGTTCCTCATTACTGATAGAAAACACTTTACTAAAATATTCCGATAAAGCTTCAGCCTTTTCGGCATCATTTTCTGCCAAGATTAACGGATTTTCTTGTATCAAAAGTGATGGAATTTCATCGCTTCTTTGAATTCGCCTTTTTATATACGAGAATAACCGTTTCGGAATATATCTAGAATTCCTAACCAATTTTTTTTCGTATGATAGTCTAGTCTTGCCTAGTAACGCTTTACAGGCATTTCTAATCTTACAATAACTGGATCTGTACTGTTCTAAGCCAGTAGAGATGAACATATTCCAGTGATTCTTTCTTTTTCTAAAGAGTTTCCTGACAGTTTTAGTTATCCATGGTGGACGGTTATTCGGTCTTCGCGGTACCAGGTATGATATGAACGGGGACGTAATTAGACTAAACTTACCTTTAAATATAGACCATGATTCTTCAACTGATATGCTAGTATCTACTAACCAATCTGTGGCTCACAATTTGAGACCACCAGTGAGTTACTAACTACCTGTGTACTGCTTACAGCTTTTTTCCTTTCGTTTCGTTTCCTACGTACCGTTGTCCATTTTTCGTCCCTCATAACACTGGGACTATTTGGAACGGTGACTGTTTTATCAAGATCTTCGGTTCCCACTAAAGGTGCATTATTAACAATGTCAGTACCAGGTGGTACTACTCCCCTGTTAATGTCAACGAAGATTTCACTTTTACGTCGGTCAGAGTCGGTTGTTTGAGGCGTCGCGTAACAGCAGGTACTACACTGACACATTCGTCACTATCAGTGCCTGTGTTGTCAGCGCATATGCCATCCTTCTTTTTACAGGCCAAAGCCAATAGGCTCATAGCCTCCTGTATTAGTAATGCCTTGTTGGCACAGCAAAACATGCAAAGCCAATGTGAGTTAGGCTTCGAACATCTTTTGTATGCGGTGGGACTTAAGCGGGGGCACATTTTGTGGAACCACTTATTGCATTCGTCACACCGCATTCCCTCCTCCACAGGGAACAAACAGTTTGGTTGTCCACATTTGTGAGTACTACCAGCCATTTCAGTCAGATCAAGGTGTAACACACAATATGATAACAGTATGAACACAAATGTCAGTCAACGAATAAAAGGTTACCATAAGACAAACTTTAGCAAGATTTTAAACCTTAACTAAAGTACTTTAATACAGACCAAGGACGATTTCGAATGTAATAAATACACAAAACCCGAAAAAGCTCAATAGAATATCACTTTAACTGTAGTAGATTCAATTAAAGTGTAAATCGTAGTTTTGATACGTAATTTACGATCAAAACAGTTAACTAATTCAACGAGAAACAATACCACTGTCCTTTTTAGATAGCGCGCCAAAACAGTTACCAAAACGTGTGGGTTCGGATACATGCTTTACTAATGCATGCTCCTTATATATATATAGTGTAGTTGAACCTAAATCAAATTTATGGCCGTCTTGATTTGACCGCTTCTGCAAAACCTTACGCATTTTCGCGATGACGCACCAATCGTTTTATGAGGGTTTGACCTTCAAGTGCTCAGTAACCTCCCTCAATGGACGGTGCCAATGGATCGTTGACCGTTTGCTTACCTTCGGTCGGTTAGATCCTATTCCCAAAGATGACGGTTACATACTCATCGGTTGTGGCAACTGCGAAATATTGGACTTTTATAAGATTATTGTTTATGTAATGCTTACGGTTTTTGTTCTCAACAGCCACAAACAGGTGGAAAGGAAGCGTTTATCGTCTGGTTTGGTTCGAGTTTTTGGTCTTCGTCGGTATATACTCCGTTTTATCTGTTACATACAGGTTTATCCTCAGTGCGACACTGAAGAGGTTAGTTAAATTGTCCAAACGTTGACGCTGAATAGCTACATACATAAATGAGGTTTTTAGTTAACGTCTTATTAGTGAAAAATTGAAATTAGTTAGTAGATTTTAGAACTCACTCGTTTGTTGCAACCGTGTTCGTTGTGATAATCTCGGATTTCCTGTCCGTTTCCTACCTTATACATATGTACGTTTTGCCAATATGAACCCTTTCAAGGCGGTCTCCAGTTGACTTGGTGATACACGTAAGTCCTGTAATATCAGCAGTAAATTTGAGTCTTAAAAATAGTCCATATAAAACTCTAAGGAGTCATCAGTTATCAATTGGGTCAATATTGTCATAATAATTTGTAGAAAGGACTTCGGAATCCAAGATCGAACCAGATGCCTTTAAGGATTTCTCGGAGTAATCACCTCTTTAAACCTAATGTCAAGTAAATTTTCTGCACCATCTTTCTGTTAGTCTAACATAAAACAAACACTTGCAAGATACTGGTTGTCTTTCAAACTAAGAATCCAAATCTTGGTGTCGATCTTATCATTCGATGGAATACGTTAAGTTTGGTCTTTACACACTTTCCTATCAGTATTTTGAAGCCTTTTAAAATATATTTTTTCCAACACTATCGTTTCAGGTTTGAATTGTCTTCATCAGGAATCGTTATCATAAGTGTTACTTAGTTTGGTGGTCATACATTTTCTTAGTTAATAGATTTCTGCCAGAGTCCACGGATCAGGAGGTGCATTGGTTTACATCTCTCAATCATTGGCTATTTATAATTCAGTTCCAAGACACTGAGTTTGGCTTCTAACTGAGATACCAAATGTAATATGTTCGAGTCTCTATAGATTTATACCTCCACGTTACTGATTCACTATATTAGTGACTACTAACAGGCTTTGAATGAGAATCCAGTGTCTCTTCAGCAAATCAAAGTTCGAACCCCTTACTGCCATCTAAGGCTTTTGGAGAAGTATGATCTGAATGTACTTATAAAAAAGACATTGATTGTCATGCTAAAATCAGACTTGGAAAAATCTAAATCTCTTGTCGAAGTAATTTCCTAATCGATACCTTATAAAAAATTTACTAGCAAGTGTAAACATAAATAAGAACTTTCGTCTAAATTTGAACGAATAGTTTCACAATATTTGGGCGCCGAGTTAATTTGAGACATTAAAAAGAATAATATATTTGTAAAATCTCAGCGAATGAATTTATATTCGATAATTTTGTTGTTTGATTATATTTTCCTTGAAAAAGCTTGGACCAGATTGCCAGGCGAAACGTTGGATTTACTTGAAATTCATTCGCTGAGATTTTACAAATATATTATTCTTTTTAAGTGTAAACATATGTTCCATGTATTGGTTTTATGAAGGTACTGCACTCAGCGTTCGGTGGTTTTGTAGAGATACGTATAACTTGTCTTTTATGGAGTCGATGGAAATCCGCTGTAAAGAAAAAGCATATGATCACAAGTCGTAATGAATTGTGCAGTACTTATTCAATCCAGCTTTTAAACATCTTACTCTTGCAAATTAATGATAAGAATATGATTCAGCTCAGTAATCACACGTGTATGTTTCACGTTTACAAGCTAGTTATTAAAAGTAGGTGGAACTAAAGACCCGCAGTTCGCGATAAGTTTAATACATGACGAAGTTGTAAATAAGTCAATATTTTACATATACCTAACTTTACCATTCTTAATTATTGATTTCTTCAACTCTTTGTCTCTGCCTGTTATTTTTTCGAACTCGGAGTCGTAGCTCAGTGATTAAACATTCGGCTTTCAGCCAATAAGTTCCTGGTTCGAACCCCGCGCCATCAACTTCAGCTTAGGTAACCGCACCTTATTATTAGTTCTCATACATGGAGTGTAACTCAGAGTTAAGTACACAAATGAGTCTAACGATTTTTTTTAACGTTAAAGATTTTTGAACTGCTCAATTTTCCTGTATATCAAATATGTTGTTCTATTCGAACATTATACTGACAAAGATTATTAGTGCTCTTTAGTATATCACAACAGTCGAGTAATTACCCAAATAGAAATCTTAGTGTTTTAGCTGCTTCAGATGTTTTAGATATTGTTGTTAGTATTTGTAGAATTATCCCATAAGCTTACTGATCTGAGTGGTTATACAAGTTGCTTCAGCATTGATGACATGTGGGTAAATCGTTCCAAATTGTATATTTCAAAATTGAACTGACCAACTGTTTTGCGCTTAAACAGTTAAAAATAGTTATACAACTGTAATGACTTTTTAACTAGCGTGTTTACAGTTATATTCAAAGTTATCATACTCACTGTCTATTTTACTGCAAATCGTTTGTTTATTTTCTATGGTATGCTATACATAACTTACGAACCATGATCAATAATTGGTTTAAACAGGTATTTTGAGCTATTGTGCATCTATTGTGGCCAGTACAACGAAACGGTCCCTGTAGCATTCGTTTTGGGCTTTTACGTTTCACTTATTGTTCAACGTTGGTGGGAACAGTTCCTAGCATTACCATGGCCTGATCGTTTGGCTTTGTTTATAACAGCTTTTTGTCATGGGAACGCTGAACGCCCAACAAGAATCAGGCGAAATATAGTTCGATATATCAATCTATCTTATTGTATTGCTTTACGTGCAATCTCATCTCGAGCTCGCTTGCGTTTTCCAACAGAAGAACATCTTGTTACTGCAGGTGATCCAATGTTTTCATTAAATATTGTCATTTTGAAAATAGGACTCAATGTTATTTTAATCAATTTTCACGCTTTATATGACAAACATACGTTTTAATATTAATGTTTCTGGTTTTGCGTATTATCGATAAATTCATTTTGTGTAAGTTAAGGGTTTGGATTCCATTGTACTGTTATTGCATAACGAAATTCATTGTTCTCTAGGTTTACGCTTGCAATATCATTGTTTTAGTAAATTAGCCAATTTATTGCGATTTCTGGGTTGTATCTGTCTAACAAAATATTAAGTAATATGTTTGTGAATACCTGAACACTGAGGTGGAGGGTTCCAGTTAACTGTTTGATTATTGATATATGTGTCAATTTCTTTTTTATTGACTTTAATAATAACAGCTTCTTAATGTGAATGTTAATTGTGATGTCTTTTAGTAATTTTAGAAAGTAGTATGATAGTCCAACTATTTCATAGGAATATTTATATTGAACTCTGGATTACATTTATTTATTTATTTATTTGAACATATGAATATTGGTACAAGAGAGCGTCAATATATATGCGCCACACAAAACAATGAAAATTCGAAGAGAAATAAAAGAAAAAGCTAAGGAGCGCAAAAAAAAGAGAACAATAACGAAGAGATTGGTGTAAGGTAGTGTGGTAGTAATGAGGGAACAGAAAGGTACAATCAGAAGAAATCTTTCAGGTAAGGGAGACACAACCACTTTTTATGAAGAAAGTAAAAGAAGGTTACAGCAGGATCGCCACTGGCTTCTATTCTGAGCTATATCTGATAACGTCTCTAGCCACTGTGTTGCACCATCTCTCGGACCCCAACTAGGGAGTCGTGAAGGACCAACAGAAGCCAGCCCTTTGCAGCTTTCTTTCATACCACGACACCATGTCATACATTGACCACCTCTCCGCTTTTTCCAACCAGTCCCAGAGTCGGCAAATAATGCACGACGTGGAATTCTCTGGGACGACATTCGTAGAACATGTTCAAGCCACCGAAGTCGGTGTTTCAAGATGGTGACACCAATTGAATTATCATCTCTGTGACCGAACACACGATGCCGAACCTCTGCATTACTGACATGGTGTTGCCACCGGATGTCAGCAATCCTTCGGAGACAGCGATGATCGAACACAAATGATGAACTCTGGATTACATACTTGATTCCATTTCATTAATTTAATCATTTAAATATATACAAATTTTCTTTCCCAGAAACTGAGTGATTGTTGATTTTCAAACAATATGTATCATTGACATCGTTACATAGTACCTACTGTGAATTTACTGGATTGTAATTAATTATAATCATGCTTTTTGGAAGATGAAAGACATTAAAAATAATTGAAGTATTAAATCTTATTTTTACTGCACGAAAATATATTCCGAGCCCTCATATATAAAGCATCACCTCATAACTGTCATTTCCATGGCGAGAAAATGTTCTGGTACTTAAATCTTATTTTTTAAAATTACTCGTAATTCCCAAGTTCTCACACGTGTTTCAATCATACACTTAAAACTCTATGTCATATAATCTCTGAAAGAGTTAATGAAATGTACTCTGTACATTAGAAAAATGTACATTCCATTCGCATATAAGTATTGGACTGATTTTATTCTGGTAATCTACCATTTGAAAGTAAGCACATAAATAAATCCATTTCTTTACTGTGGATGGACTCGTTAGTTGGAGACAACCTACAAAAAGCCTTGGATGTAGGTTTTTTTAACACTCGTCAGTATAGAATATTTACTGTCTCAAGGAAACCGATGCTTCATGTGGGTTTCGAATTTCTGTCACTTAGTGTCAAACTTAGTGTTTTGTCACCTAACTATTCGGGATACGGCTCAACTGTGGAACAGTTGAGTACACACTGATTGATCATTTATAATGACCAATACTATGTCTAGTTCTTGTTGTTGATGGAATCCTACCGATAAAGTTGGAGTATATAATTGTGTTTTATCAGAACGTGGGTTTAGGTTATACTCAGAATAATGACAATGTAAATTGATTCAAATCTGTGTTAATTCACCACCAACAATTCAATAATTAATTATTAATAAACCGAGCTATTTGTAAGAGGTCCGTTAATACTGACGTAGATTACTTTATGGTATTTAATAGCAATCAAGAAGGGCATTTACAGTGTATATTTTCTCTTAAGAAGAGCTAGTCAAAGGAAATAGTCAATTTATCGCATAGTTTTCCTTAATACTGAAGTAGTCACTTTAAAAAACCAATATACAGACTAACAAGTGCTAGCCAAATAGGATTAACTCGCTTATACATACACTTAACTGAGTCCATATCTAAAGTGTATAGCATCCATTCTGCATTTCACTGCTGACTAGTGCCGTCAAAATTTAATTTTTTTCATGAGGATAATTGCATGTTTCAAAGTGTTCGTACTACTTTTTCTCTTTTCAGGATTGATGACACAAGAAGAATTGGATATTTATCGTAGTACTCAACCCAGTGAATATACTTTATACTTTGTTCCGTTAGTATGGGCCCTAGATATGGTTACAAAAGCTCGTGAAGAAGGCTACATACGCTTTGATAGAGCTGTAGAAATTTTGACGAATGAAATCACATCATTTCGTAGTAAATTAGGTACAATATTTGCTTATGATTGGGTTAATCCTCCACTCGTGTATACCCAAGTGAGTTGATAAGTATTAGTAAACTAACATGCAATAACAAGACGGACTGTTTACTACTTTTTCAAGATTTGGTATTTTTTTATGGTTTACTGAAAGATAATTATATTTCCCTTATGTCTGGTGGTCAAACAATTGGGAATGTTTAAAGTGCGACTGACAAATACACAATTTCCAAACAAGCCACATATTAGGATACGAATGGGACTTAATACCACCTTTCGTCAGACGATTCTAGTCATGTCTGCGTTAAATAGAGAACATTTCCTTTAGAGCAGTGTTTCACCGGTTAAGACCACTAACTTAATGGTTTGACATCGTCACAACTGCTCCGATTTGAATAATGTTCCACCAGTTTGAAAGAGAGATAAAATCAAGTTCTGGAGTATTGACGACTTAGTCACTGGATTTCGAACCAATGGATCTCTGGTTTAAGATCTGCCTCACTTACACTAGTTTTAGGCTACGTGGTTGTATCACTAGCCCTAACAATTCGAGTGTGGTTTGAAGGTAAGTTCATGAATAAGATTCTGGTAAATAAGTTAATATCTTGTTCATGAGGCATATGAAAATCCTATTGGATTAAATCCAAGCTTTTTTGTTTGAATCCATCAATTTGATTTTGCTCTTATTACTTCAAGTCTTTCTAGTAAACATAAGTAGCCATATTCACCACCGACACGTTTATTTAAACTCTCTCTCTCTCTCTCTCTCTCTCTCTCTATATATATATATATATATATATATATATATATATATATATATATATATATATATATATAGTTCCCGATATAACAATTTAAAATACTTTTCTCAGGTATAAAATATTAGTTAACCTAGTTTTAGCGATTAGTTTAATTAATATTTTAGCTAAAATCTGGGAGTTGAACGTAATCCCATCTGACTGGTCGCAATCACTGATTGTCCCAATATATAAGAAAAGGTCAAAATCATCCTGTGATAACCATAGAGGGATCAGTCTAATATAGCATCTAAAATACTAGCTTCAATAATTACCAGGCGCCTAACAGAGACTCCTGAACTGCAACATGAGAAAATCAGGCTGGCTTCAGACCTGGTCGTGGATGCATCGACCACATATTCACTATTAGTCACGTTCTAGAACACAGGCATACTTATCGGCGTCCGATAATAGTGGTCTTTCTCGAATTAAACGCAGCACTTGACTCTGTAGACCGTGAGATTCTGTGGCGGTGTCTGTCATTGAAAGGCGTACCTCAGAAGTACTTAAACCTTGTAAAGGCTCTTTACTCGAACACTACTAGTCGAGTCAGAGCTTATGGCGAACTGTCATCTACTTTTGCAACCTCAAGTGGTGTCCGTCAAGGATGTCCACTTTCTCCATTTTTGTTCAAATTCATCATAGACCTACTGATGGAAATAACGCTCTCGTCGCTGACTAACTGACTGACTGACTACCCAACGCAGCCACAAGCAGTCACACTCAGTAAGTCCAGAGTGAAAATCAGTGGAAGGTAAGGAAACCACATATTTAAGTCAGTAGGTTGTGGCTGTTTGTCCACACTCCGTGACTAATCATATTTTAATTTTACTGCCACACATCAGTTTTTTTATACGATGATGCATCCAAATTATTTGTCATTAACCCAGCTACAATCCCATATTCTTTAATAATCCATATATCTATATAAATATTTCTATCATATGTGATATATGCCTTGTAAATTGTCAATTAATTGGCTCACCCACTAATTGCTTTCACACATGAAAATAAGATGCGTCAGCCAAACAAATCAATCGGTTTTGATGTTTACTCTAAAAATAACGTTAGTATTTCAGGTGATGTGTAGTTGTGCATCCTCTAGTGGTTACCTTTGTGTATGTGTGCAATTTAGACACCATTTATTTATAGATAGTTGAAAGGTGGCGTTAATTATGGGGAAATTTGAATATAATAAACCAGTTAAGTTTGTTATGCTTCAGTATTTCTACTTAGTACTGTTAGTTAGATCTGTTTTTTAGAAGTTACGAACTGTGCGCAAGCATATGTCTAATGCACATTGATTTTCGACTGTACTCTAGCTGATATTACCTTGACCAAAAACTATCATGACCATAAGTTTGTAATCTTTTGTGATTTCGAAAAGTTTTTAGATCCCAAGTACTTTTAAAACCATCATTCGGTTATTAAGAAAGGGCTGTCAGTTTCATCATATACCTTTTTTCGAAGGTATTTTTCAGTTTTTCAATGAATCGTCAAGGTGGCAAACTACAATCCGCCACAATATTTGAGTTCCACCATTGCACAGACCCTAACCAAGAAGTCTGCACTCACCATTTATTTATGTGTTCAAATAAATAAATAAATGGTGAGTGCAGACTTCTTGGTTAGGGTCTGTGCAATGGTCGTCGTATGAATTCCGTATGATGTTAACGACCTTCTCATCCCGACCGTTGCTGCTACCTTCAAGTGGTGGTCGGGCTTGCCTATCGTGACTAACTAATCGGGACATACTGACTAACACAACCGTTTTTCAAGGTCCTACCACGCCAGGCAAGTCGGTTGAAGAACGATAAGACTAAAAGCAGCAAACCCAAGGTCCGAAGGCGAAGTCGTACTGCTGACTGTGCAGAGGTGTGACAGTAGTAAGGTGTTTCTTTCAGACAACCAGCATAACAGCGATGCTGGGAGCGTCGAGCCGAATGAATGCACACCTCGCCTTATCCTAAAGATATCCGTCTCCGGCGGTAAGGTCTCAACACGTACGGAGCTAACACGAAAACTACCCGCAAAAAGGTGTGTGATCGACCTCATGCAGTTGTCTCTTGGGCACTGCTGTAACGCTCTCAGATCCCTAAGACCACCAACCCAGTTTCCTTGTCAGGTACATCTAGAAAAACCCTTCCACTGTGTGGGCGACCGGGAAGTGATGACCGCCCTCATACCTATAATGGCAGCTACTCCATTGTGTCGAAGAAGGTTCTATAAATTTGTACAATCCACTATGTCAAACGCTTTCTCATAACCAAGGAAGTTGATGTATAGTGACTAGTTCCGTTCAGGTGATTGCTCAACAATGATCTGTAGTGTCCCAAGTTGGTCAATGTCCTACCGATCTTTACGGAATACAACCCGTTGATCTCAAAGTTAGACGTCTACTGAATCTTGCATCTGATTCAAAAACATTCTGTTGAAAACCTTTCCCAGTGCTGATAGTAGTGTGATGACTCTGTAGTTCTCACACTTTCTCGGATCTTATTTCTTCGGTGTCTTAGTGAGGTAAACTTTCCAATCTGTCGGCACTCGTTCTTCCTCACATGTCTCTCTCAATAGAATGTGGAGCATGTTTGTAGCTACTTCTATTTCTGACTTCAGTGCTTCAACTGGTGTGTTATCTATTCTTGGTGCTTCCCCACCCTTGAATTGTCTGATGGCCATCCTGATTTGTTCGATCGTTGGTGGAGTGAGATCAATAAGAAGGTCTGTAGGTGATATTCAAATTATTCTTCACACTTGTCCCTCTGTTCATGAATCCCAGTCATTCGTTTGCCTTCTGTGTTCGTGACTAATCGCTTTAGTTTACTATATTTCCCCACCAGTTTATTCGTTGTACCATGTATTTGTCGCACAATACAACTTTTTAAGTTTATAGTTGTTGTAAAGCAGGTTTATGGAGCGCTTGGTATGAGCTGAGACCTTGAAGAAACGCGTACGTCAAGTTTGTTTCAGGCTTCAGAAGCTCCATAGCTGTGCATTGAGAGCGTGATGCTGAAAAGAGAGTAACAAAGGAGCAGCAAAGCACTTGGATTTAAACGCTAGACAATGCTTAACACTTTAGTGGGACAGATATAGATATGATAAATTAGTAGATTTAATTCATGCTAACTCTTGTTGTTGTAGTGAAATGTGGTTAGAGTCTCCAGATAAGAGAATGTGGTAATAAAAATCAATGAGTTGTGATATTCAACGAGGTGGAGCAGGTTCAGATGTTGGGAGGGAAGTCGAAGTTAGGATAAAGAAGTTTGCTTAATAGAGTGGAAAGTGTACCAAGAGAGTAAAGTGTTATGAAGCACTAATGACTATATTTTTTATTCTCTGGTGTTTTTTAGTTTTTCTCACATAATCGAGCACGAATTTGCCGCCAAAGAAAGTATGTAAACTTAGATATAAATAAAAAGCGTGCCCGCCTGCAGCTCGACACCGCTTCGGACATCACACTTATTAGTCGAAGAACTTGGAATCTTATCGGAAAACCACAGGTGCTTCCAACAACCCAGTTAGCTCACAGCGCTTCTGGAGGAAAACTAAATATTGTTGGAGAGGTCTGTTGTACAGTTTCGAAACGAAACGCGAAAATGAATGCAACTTTACAGAATCCAGGACTAGATTTGCTAGGTCTAGACTTGATAGAAACACTACAATTAGCACAATTAACCACATATGCAGCGCAGTGAGAACCAATAAACCGGTGGAAAAGGATCTGAAGAGTGTTGTATTGGAAAGACATAGTCAAGTGTTTACGGAAGAGTTGGGGGAATGCAAAAAGGTAAAAGCACTATTGATTCTTAAACTAGGAGTCACCCCCGTCTTCAGACCAAAACGCCCGGTACCCTATGCAGCGCTACCTATTGTTGAACAAGAGTTAGAGCGTCTGCAAAGAAGTGAAATAATAGAGCCAGTAAACTTTTCTGATTGGGCAGCTCCAATAGTGATTGTCAAAAAGCCAAATGGAAGTATCCGGCTATGTGCAGATTATTCGACGGGATTAAGTGAAGCGCTTGAAGCCCATCAATACCCATTGCTGGTACCAAAGGATTTATTTGCGAAACTGAATGGGGGTAAGTATTTTGCGAAATTAGACCTATCAGACGCTTATCTACAGATTCCGGTAGCGGATGAGTGTAAGCATTACTTGACAATAAACACTCACAAGGGATTGTTCCGGTATAATAGACTTCCTTTTGGAGTAAAGACCGCTCCTTCAATCTTCCAACAAGTTATGGATACTATGTTACAAGGA